AATAAATAAATAAATAAATAAATAAATAAATAAATAAAGACAGGTTAAGTCTTCCATTTCACAATAGTTTAATTCTAAATGTATATAAATGGTCATTTAGTAACAAAATATTTTCCTATAAAAACAAATGGTGGTCAAGGTCTCAGAGCAAACCCACAAAAGCTTATTATCTGACTTGAATCCACCAGGCACACGCTCATTATTCCCATTATCTCTGTCACAGTGAGTCCACCACAAGAAGTCCTTGACTCCCAGGCCAAACATCAACTCCCATACTCTGATCTTCATATTGCTCTGTACAATCCGTTCTGTCCTAACCCACCTTTCTGCATTCTTGAAAAAGTTCCATTGACTCCTCTGGAATTCATAATCCATCCTCAGCAAAACCCCCTATATATCCTGAACTTCTCCTCTAACTGTTCCCTTCACTTTCTTGCTCAAACAGAGCCTAAGACTCCCTAGGAACACCACTCTCACTGTAACCCAGTCAAGTGGTGGCTCTTTTCCCCAGACCCCTCACACTACTAGGCCTGGAGGTGGGGTATGAGTCACCTTTGCTTTTTATAGTTTTCAGACTATTCTCCCTCCACCCTCCCCTAAAGCCCACCCAGCTTTGAATTTCCAATCGCTCATTATCCCTCACTATTGCTGTGATCTAGTTTCATTCCATTGTGGTCAAAGAAAATATTTTGTAGGATTTCAATGTTTTAAATTTATTGAGACATGTTTTGTGGTCAAAGATAGGGTCTATCCTGGAGAACGTCCCATGCACACTTGAGAAGAATACGTAATCTACTGTTGCTAGCTAGGTACTGTTCTATATATGTCTGTTAAGTCTAATTGGTTTATAGTGGCTGTTCAAGTCCTCTATTTCCTTTTGTCTAGTTGTTCTATCCATTAATGAGAGTGGGGTATGGAAATGTCCAACAATTATTGCAAAACTATTTCTCCTTACAATCCTGTTAATGTATGCTTCGTATATTTTGAGGCTCTATTTGGTGCAAATGTGTTTATAACTGTTTTATCTTCTTCGTGGGCTGACCCTTTTATCAATATATAATGTCCTTTGCTGTCTATTGTAAAAATTTTTGTCTTAAAGTCTATTTTGTCTGATATTAGAATAGCCACCCCAGCTCTCTCTCATGGATACTATTCGCATAGGATTTTCCACTTTGAACATATTTCTATCTTTGGATCTAAAAGTGAGTTGCTTATAGACAGCATATAGTTAAATCATGTTTTATACATTCTGCCAAACTGCCTTTTGATTACAAATTTTAATCCATTTACATTTAAAGTAATAACTGACAAGGAAGGACTTCTGCCATTTTTCTATTTGTTTTCTACAGATCATATATATATATATATAGTTGTTGTTCCTCATTTCTTCCATTAGTGCCTTCTTTTGTGTTTGATTTTTTTTTGGTACCCTTTTGATTCCCTTCTTTCCTTTTCTATTTTTTTAGTTATTTTCCTAGTGGTTACCTTGGGTATTGCAAGTGATATTTTAAACATAATAATCTAGTTTGAACTAATACCAATTTAGCTTCAATAGTATACAAAAATTCTATACCTATACACCTCAATCCCTCCCCCTTTTATATTGTTACATTGTTTGCCAATTAGATTTATAATTATTGTTTTATTACTTTGTCTTTTAAATCTTGTAAGAAAAAAGGAACTACAAACCAAAAAAATACAGTAATGTTGGCTTTTATATTTACCTATGTAGTTACCTTTACCAGTGTTCTTTATTTCTTCATACGGCTTCAAGTTATTGTCTAGTGTCCTTTCATTTCAGCCCAAAGGACTCTCTTTAGCATTTCTTGTTCTTTTAAGGTCTACTAGCGACAAATTCCCCCAACTTTTGTTTATCTTGGAATGTCAAAAACTACCATTTTTGAAGGATAGTTTTACTAGATACAGAATTCTTTGACAGTTTTGTTCTTTCAGCACTTTATGCCATCCTACCGCCTTCTGAAGAGAAATCACCTGTTAATCTTATTGAGGATCTTTTGTATGCAATGGGTCACATCTGTTTTGCTTTCAAAATTCTTTGTCTTTCAACAATCTGAGTATAATGTGTCTTGGTGTGGCTCTCTTTGAGTTTATCCACTTAGTGTTTGTGGAGCTTCTTAGATGTGTAGATCCGTATCTTTCATCAAATTTGGGAAGTTTTCAACCATTTTTTTTTTTTTTCCAAACATTACTTCCTGTCCCTTTCTCTCTCTCCTCTGCTTCTGGGAGTCTAATGTACATATTGATATTGGATGGTGTCCTATAGTCTCTTAGACTCTGTTCATTTTTCTTCATTCTTTTCTCTTTCTGCTCCTCATACTGGATAACCTCAATTGGCTCATCAAGTTGGCTGTTTCTTCAGCCTTCTCAAATCTGTTGTTATAACCCTCTAGTGAATTTTTCATTTCAGTTATCATACTTTTTGACTCCAGAATGTTTGGTTCCTTTGTTCATAATTTCTATTCCTTTTTTGATATTCTGCCTGGTCTCCTTTAGCTCTTTGCCCATGGTTTCCTATATAGATCATAAGCATATTTAGGACTGGTGATTTAAATTATCTAATAAGTCCATCACCTGGGCTTGCTCAGGGATAGTTTCTATTTTCTTTTCTTGTGAATGAGCCATACTATGTTTCATTGCATACCTCATTATCTCTTGTTGAAAACTGGATATTTTGAATATTATGTGGCAACTCTGAAAATCAAATTCTGCCCCATCTTTGGAGTTTGTTGATGCTTATTGTGGGTTACTGTTGTTTGCTTGTTTAGTGACATTTTTGTAAAGTCTATATTACTGTCATGTGCGGTCACTGAAATCTGTGTTCTGTCAGCGGAGTGGTTAGTTAATGTTTTGAGTTTTCTTAAAGGCCTGAAGCCAAAAAGAAAAAAAACCACTCTCCCAGTCTTTGCATACTAGCTCTGTGTTTGGGCATGCTTCAACACTTGGCCAGGTCATTTACAATTCTGTCTTAAGTCTTCACCTCCTGCTTGTGCAGAGCCTGAAGGCCAGCCAGAATAAAAAGCCTAGGATCTTCTCAGTCCTTTTCTGAGTAGGTATCCAGTTCTGGGCATAAGCACGGCCTTTTGTTCCAATTCCCTGGTACATGCTATTCCCCCATATTATCTCCTTATCAACCTTCTTTTTTCCCAGGCTTTCAGTCTCTCTATTGCTCGTCTAACCATTGTCTCTCACTCCAAACTGCTAAAGCCAGTAGTTGTGCCTTAGATTCCTTTTGGCAAAAGCCACCCCAGCTCTGGAGATGCTCCTAATCAGGCAAAACAAAAACAGGCCCTTGCACAAGTCCTTCAGGGAACAGAGAGATCGCAACCCACAATTCTTTATGTCCTCTGGCATTAGCAATCTACACTAGGAGTGCAGACTTCTATCTTCAGGGCCATCATCGATCTGGGTGTGAGGCAATTTATAACATCACAGTGCTCTCTTCCCCAAAGCAGCAGCTTCTTTCTTCACCCAGCCTTTCCTTGACTGTTGTAAGTTTTTTACTAAATTCCAGAATTCTGTAAAAGTTGATTGACAGTTTTTGCCAGTTCATTAGTTGCTTTTATGGAGGGACAGAGCTCTGGAGTTCCCTACTCTGCCATTTTCACTCATGTCCTACTGTTGCCACCTATGGACTCCTGGGTCACTGCCCTTCATTTAGCAATGATCTTATAGCTTCTGATTCACTGTCATTCCATCCAACTCTATCCTTTTTTAATTGTTGGAGATTTTCATATATATGTAAGTGATACTTCCATCATGCTGACCTCTTGGCTCCTGGAACTCCTCTCTTCCAAAGATCTTCTCCTCTACCCCATCTGAGCCATTCACTCCATATCCTAAACTTTAATATTACCAATACCTACAACCCCTCCAAAATGTCGATTTCACATATCTACCCTCAAATGAATCCTTAATCCTGCTGGACAGTCATACTCTATT